ATCTTCTGCTACTAGCCCACCTCTTGTTGCTGGGCCATCTTCTGCTTGCCTAGAACCACCTTTCACAAGCCCAAATGAAGCAGGCCCATCTAGCCCATCCACATCTAAACCAGGTTCTTCTAAACCAGGCACCTTCAAACTAGGCCCACCCAAGCATTTCAGACCAAAATTAACCACTTGGAAAAACACAAAACTTGCACAAGCTGGACACCCTTGTAGTGGATCGGGGACCTTGAGTATAGTAGAACCTGTTAGGAGGAGCCCAAGGTTGACTTATTCCTTGTCACCCCAAAAGTTTACCCCCTCATTCAGTCAACCTAGGAGGTTACCTAGGATGTTAGAAGATATATCCTGTAACACCCTAAAAATTCTTTTCCGTTAAAATACTCATTTTGCCCCTTTTAAGAATACGAAAAAGGAAAATCTAAGACATTACCACCACCGTGAAAGCGGCTAAGGAAAATATCAAAGACTCACACACAGCGGAAGACTATTTTTAAAACCATTTAAAACAAGTCAATTTAAAAAAGTCAAACCAAACGAAAATAAAAGTCAAATAAAGCCAAACAAAGTCAACCTACAACTCGAAACCATTGTAGGCCCTTAAATTCTAATCAATATTTAAAAACTTTTGCGTTAGTCTCATGATCACAATAAAATAAATAATATTCAAAACAAATAAAACACATCATATTCTTATGAGAACTAAGCATGATTCGCTCTTTACTCATGTCCGTCATGAATATACTCCTTCACCTGTTAAGCTCTTATCTACTTGTACCCACTACTCGCCATTAGAAATGGGTCGTCGTAGGGCCAAAGGTAAAGAACACGCCAACAAACATGCAAATGCATAATCAGCAATGCTGAGTACATAAGCGTAATCAAACACACTAACATGCTTTCATCCTAACATCACACAACTTACCGTGTTGCACCTGTTTACAAGCATACAAAACACTCAACACCTAACTAGACCACTATTTATGCTCATTTAATTTTGATTACACGTCGAACTGGTTTCCAACATAATCCCTGCCTTAAATAAATTGAGGTAAACTATGCCGGGAGCTAACCGGGTAGGCAAATGTCACATAAAGTGACTGGAAGTCATGCACATAAAGATAAATAAAAAGGAAGATACAGCGTCCTGTACTCCCAGTAGAAGTTATGGTTAAATATAAAACCCCATAACTCCCCCCATATGTTCATACTCAAGGTATATACGTTCCAAGAGTTTTGGTGTGTAATCTCTTTCACTTTACGTTGTTTACATATTATTAGATTCGGTGATGACTCTCAAACCATAAAACAATCAATCATAATAAATCATTCAAGCAATCAAACATACCAATTTAATTCTTGAATAATTAGTGTCCACATAAATTTAATAGTTGAACCCTTTTTAATCTACCTTAGTGTCAAAGACACCTTAAACGCATAATGCGCCGCAAATCCTATCCCTCAGTGTTAGAAACACCTTAAGTGCATAATAAGCGCCGCAATAAAATTTATTCCTGTGTACTAAGAGACTTATTAGCTCAAACCCCATGCTTAAAGCATTAATAAAAATTATATGAACCATAATAAAATTCCCTTTTCATACTCCAAACCAAATTAAACATTTAGTTTAATTAAACATGCTCTCTAACATGCCAATAATAAAAGTGTGGTTCATATCCAACATGCCAATATAATTGATTCCAATCACCAATTCACCATAAATAATTCATTCATCACAAATCATTCACCAACATCAATCCAATCAACAAATTCCAATCAACACCTATATCATGATACTACTTGGAATTAATTCATCAAAGCCTAACATGCTTCTATACACTTAAATAAATACCAAGTATGCGAACGTACCTTGAATATGATCTTAAAAACGCCACGACTAAATAAAATCACTCACTTGGAAGTCTCCTACAAACCAAAATTATAAAGAAGTATTAATACATCTTTCACACAAATTTCCAGCAATTTATACTCTCTTTAAATCACTCATAAACCCTCTAAAATAATCTGAAATTTTATTTAAAACCCTTACTTTTATTCCCAATTAATGGATAATTAAAAATATTTTCAAAAAACTTAATTATAGCTTATGTATAAAAATTTCAGCATTATTAAAACTCATAAAATTGCTGTAATTTAGTTTAAAAACATTAATTTTAATAGTTCTAATTAACCACAATCAAATTCCATCAATAGACATTAATTTAGAAACCTAGGATTTTCAATTTGGGGCTTTTTAATTCAAAACCAAATCTGAAAATTAATATACAAAATACTTATTATTAAACATCCTAAAATCATCATGAACCCAAAAACAATAATTAGATTAAAGTTAGATTTAATTAAAAATTAAAAAGAAAGTTTTTTTTTTAAAACCACCGGCGCACAACCACCAAGGCCGGCTACCGCAGCCGCCTGGTGGCTGCTGTTGCCGACGAGCACTACTGGTGGTGGCCGCCGGCCAATGGTGGTGTGTGGTGGCCAGCTGGCGTGTGTGGTGGTGTATGGGTGGTGATTAAATAAATAAATTAAAGGGGAAGGGGAAAAATAAAATAAGAGGAAAGAGAGAATTTACCTTTGGGTGCACTCCACCTTAGGCATATGATGGGTATTTATACCCTCTATCATAACCTCCTACTTACTACCCTTAATGATCCCTTTCCTACTCAAATAAGGATTCCTAATCAAACTAGGATTTTGACTTTCCTTAAAACTTTGACTTTTAAAAATTATCTTTTATAAAATAATATGCCCCAATATTTCCAAATCATAAATTAAAATATTTTCAAGATTATTAAATAATTAAAAATACACTTTTAATATAAATCATTCTTTTTAAATTAATGAAAAAAACCCTAAATAATTCATTTTGAATTATTTAAATACTTTTAAGAAAATACTTATTTAAATTAAAATACATATAAAAATACGGGGTATTACATATCCCCTCATTCTCCCCCACATATCACACTATGTGATGATGATTTCTTTCATAGAATTAACTCTGAATCCCAAATGCTTTCTCCTGCACCCAGAAGAAGTCCAAGGCTATTGCAAGCTAACCCAAGCCCAAATCTTAGTCAGACACCATTGAGACCACCACAAATTAACCAAAATGAACCCCCATTTGAGCCTACTAGAAAAACTAGAACTTGCCAAGGCAGAATACTTCTCTTTCCTCATGGTAAGAAATTGCCTAATAGCACTGCAAGGCTTAAGGGTGTGGTTGTTCAGTCATCCCAAACTATACCAAAAGGTGGGAGTGGTAGGGTACTTAGGAGAAGAGGTGCAAGTGGGGTCGAGGTTAATGATGATGATAGCCTGCATAGTGATGATGACAGCAGTTCAGAGAATGATGGTGAGTATATACCGGAAGAAGAGAAAGAGATTGAGATTGAGAGTGAAGGTGAGGATGGTGATCCAGATGTAGTGGAGGAGAATGTGGGTGAGTTATTGCAGCATAATTATGTTGATGGAGGTTGGGAGCCATTCAGGTGTAATGAGAAATATTATGATGCTAAAGGGGGTTATATGGGAAAGTTGTATAACAAGGGTGAGGTGTATGATGATGTAAAGTTTGGGAGAATTTCCTTAAGACCATGGCAATTGTTTGTTGATAGGGATCACTTCAAGGATGCCCTTAGAGACTATTGCATCCAAGAAGGATTCAGCTTGGTAGTGAGGAAAGCTGAACATGACAGATACACTGCTGAATGTGCTGACAGCAGATGCAGGTGAAGGATTTATGCTACTATACTCATTGATTGGTTTACTTGGGCCATAAAAAGCATAAAGCATGGGCATACATGTGACATGAACATGGTCAATAATCCATGTGTAATTGCAAGTGGGCAGCTCAGAAGTTGTTGGAAGATATTAAAGCCAGCCTAGATATCAAAGGGAAAGCACTTAATCAATTACTTTGGGAGAGATTTGGTATTACAATGGCTAGCTCATCCCTATACAAAATGAAGAGTATTGCAATGGACCTCATTCAGGGAGGGCATGATGAATCATATCACAATCTCAATGTGTACTGTCATTTGCTCAAGGAGAGAAACCCAGGGACAGTGGCATTTTGCACTTGGAAAGCCCTACAGCAACCTGAACACCCTCTCCAATTCAAGTCAATTTTCATCAGCTTTGCAGCACAGTTTGAAGGGTTAATTATGGGATGCAGGGGCTTAGTTGGTGTTGATGGTTTCCATTTGAAAGTCAACTATGGAGGAATTTTATTATCAGCTGTGTATTTAGATGGGAATAATGAAATCTTCCCAGTTGCAGTAGCTGTAGTAGATTCAGAGAAGAAGACAAGCTGGTCTTGGTTCTTTCATCACCTGAAGAACACTCTCACTAGCACAGGAAGGATTGACTGGACTATGTCAGATAGGTAGAAGGTTTGTATTTCTCTATGCAAATTAAGACTAAGTTGTGTGTATTTTATTTATCATAGTCAGTTTAACTAATGTTTCTTTATTTGTGCTAGGGAATTGACCCTACTTTGGATCAAGTGTGGCCAAAAGTTCCTAGAAGATACTGTGCAAGGCATTTATGCAAAAATTTCAAAGCTGATTACAGTCTGCTGCTGTTTTAGGGGGTGACTAACGCCTACTCTGCCTCCAGTCTCAAAAAAGCTCTAGAAAAAATACAGTCTACTGCTGGACTTGAAGCTGTGAAGTGGTTTAAGGAGGTGGGGCCCCTTGATAGATGGACAAGTTGGAAATTTGACTCCCAACTGTCTTCTGATGAGAATACCAAACAATTTTGTTGAAAGTTTTAACAACACTATTGGTGTAGATAGGAGTTATCCCATCCTAACACTACTTGAAGGTATAACATATCTGTTAACACCATCAATGTATATGTTGGTCTTTGATTATTGAATTCACTAATTTTTTTATACCATGACAGGAATTAGGAGGATCGCTATGGTTAGGCATGCTACAAGGCAACAACTGGCTGAGCAATGGGTGGAGGAAGGCATCTGTCCTAACATTAGAGAGAGGGTTAGGGCTTTGACTAAAGAATCCAGGTTATGCCATGCATATCCTTTTGGGAGGGGAGAGTACACTAGTAGAAAAACATAAATGAGCACCGCAAAACAAAACCGGTGCGAAAAAAATAGGCGGGGTTGAGGGAAAGAGTAATCTCACCTATTCAAACCAAACTGGTGCGAAAAAGAGTAAATCGCGGCGGTTCTAACTGAACCGGTGCAACTGTTAATGTTAAAATAAAAAGAACTCGGCCTTTTATCTTCTTTCTTTCTCTTTCCTCAAATCTCTCCTCTTCTCTCATCTACCTCTCTCTCATGTATAACAATGGAGGCTCTTTCCTCAAACTCCTTCTCTCTCCTTCGATCTCCTTGGCCTTCTCCATAACCGCCACTTTCCCTTTTCTTTTCTCTTTTCTTCGATCTCCTTCTCCCTAACTACGGCGCAAGCAACGCCGCTCTCGTTCTCCTTCTCAGTCTGAAATCGGCGTCATTAGAACCAAGCACAACCACCATCGCCGCCGCCGTCAATTTGAACCAAATACAACAACAACAACAACAAACTTGAATCAATTATCGATTCAAAAATCACAAATTCGAGGTTAGGGTTTCTGGGTTCTTTAGCTTTGCATTTTGGTCCAATTATTCATGATAAATGCCTTGATTTTTTTGGATTTAATTTATGAATTGTTCAAAATTGCTGCTGGTCTTGGAGGTTTATGCGGTTAGGTGTTGGCGTTGTGGGTTGTGGGTTGTGGCAGGTTGTAGTGAAGGCAAGTTTTTGGGTGTTGTGTCTCGTGGTGCCTGATATGTTCATTTTATATAGTGTTTTACCCCCGTCCCTTGGTCATAGTTAGGAATATTTTTGGCTCTTTGGAGCCACTTTTATTACTAATATGCGTTTTCTAGTGTTTTCGTAGATTTGGTACTATTTTATAGGGAATTGCAGATTTGGAGCATTTTTCCGGACTTATGATAAGCCACTACGAGCATTTGAGAATTATGACCATATTTCGTAGTCGGTTAGAGACATCAAATCGGTGATTAAGGGCTCGGCAAAGAAGAGACCGAGGCAATGGACCAAGTATTCAAGACGAAAGGTGGAAAACCCGGAATTGGGCTAAGAAAAGCAACCCAAATCAAAGTCCATGTTTGCCCGGGAGCTCGCCCGACCGGGAGGGTGTCTCGCCCTAAGCGCGCCCGGCCGGGCGAGGTATAAGGAAGGAGAGAAGCCCTTCGCCCTATCTCGCGCCCGACCAGGCACGAGTGAAGTTTCAATAGTCAAAAAGGCGGGCCTAGGCAGGCGCGTGTTTCTAAGGATGTTTAGCGACTTTTAATCTTTGTTTTAGCTTAGGTTTCCTAACTTAAGTATAAATATGTTTTAGTTAAGCTAGATAGGGGGACGTTTTTTTCATTAGTTAATTCTCAGTTTTTAGTTTTAGGCTTTTAATTAATACTCTTATTTTCTCTCTCTACACTTTGAGTTTTATGCAATTCATTATTTCCGTTTATTTTGGTAACGATTTCTTCCCTTTTTATTTTCAGTAATTTAATTGCTTTGATTAATTATGCTTTGCTTAATTGCTCTAGTTAGTTTAGTTTTAATTATGTACGAGAAATTTAATTCTAGGGTTTTGGGGATCCATAAATAATTTGAAGGGGTAATTTATTATTATTGATTGTTAATGCTTTGGTTGATTTCCTATTGATTAATTTAATGCTATGCAATTAGATTAGCGCTGGTTTAATTGTATGAGTTATGCAATATTGATTCGAGATTCGAGAGATGAGAATTGATGTATAGGCTTAGTTTCAATAGGCAGGTTAATTTATAAATGGTTGATTCAAGGTTCGAGAGATGCGATTTAATACTGGTAGATTAATTCTGTGATTGTAATACGTAGCGAAAGCCCTTTATGATCTGATCAATTGATGCATTGATAATTGATTGTTGTATTTTACCCAGAAACATTATTTATTGGTGAACCTATACCTTAGGATTTTTATTATTGATTATTCCCTTAGTTTAATTATAGCCTATAGTATAATTCTCGCAATTCTTACTTGTTTCGTGATAATTTAGATTATATTAGTTAATTAGGAATAGAAAGACTTGTTTCCCTGTGGATTCGACCCTACTTAGCTATTTATTTTAGTTAGTGGTTTTAGGAATTACTTTTGATTAGGTAATACGACTTTAGCCTGTCAGTGCCTTAGTAGTGTTGGGTGCTGCGTGTTGCTGATTTTGCTGCTTGTTGCGGCGTTTTATTGTGGGTAAAATGTTCCTGCTACTGCTTATGTTTCTTCTTTGTGTGGTGGTGGTTTCGTGGTTGCTGGGTTGTTTCGGTGTTGCTAGGTGGTTGGGGTGGGTGGTTTCGGTGCTATAGGGTGGTGCTAGTGGTGGTAGGTAGGGGTGGAGGGTTTCGGTGCTGTAGAGTGGTGCTCATAGTTCAATTGTGAGGTTCACTCTCCCTTTCCTCCTGCCTCTCTCTATTATCTCTAGAGTTAAATTGTTGCTAGCTCACGAAAGGTCCTGAAAAAAGCTCCAACTGAGTCTCCTTGTTCGAAATAACTTTGCTTGCTGACATTTGTTGGTGGATTTCTGAAACCCTAACCTCTCTGTTATTTAAGTTTTCTAAATTTATTTTAGTTCTATACTTAGAAGCATGTTTAAGTGGCGGATGAACGATTCATGTTGTATAATAGCATACGTTGCTGGCGAGCTGGATTATTGTTGCTGGTTATTGTTGCTGGATTATGTTGCTGGATTATTGCATGCAAGGGGACTGTTATTGTTATGAATGATGAGCATGTGTACTATTAATGTGCCCAATGAACCTCTTTGAACGGACATGCTGTGTGCTATAGATATCATAATGCATTGAGTCCCTTGGCCGTAAATGGTTACACTAGGATAATCCATATGATGAAGGGACTCACTTTCATCGTACAACTTCTCACTGTGATTTGCTCCGGTTTGTCCGTTGAGGTAACACAGTTTGAGAAGTTTTTGGATGAAAAAAAACCCCCTGATGGATTCATGAATTATTATGTCAGAATTTTTATTCATTTACTTTTCCTCCCCTATTACCGGCATTCCAGGCATCCCCTTAAAGTTTATTGTTTAATGTTTCAATTGGAGTATAATTTCTTCTTCATTTGTCACCTGTATTACTAAGTTACTAAGTTCCCCGACTCTTTTAATTCTACATTGTTGAGTTTTGTGTTTATTACTATCCTACTTAAAAAGCATGAGTTCAAGTGATTCATTACACTCTTCACTTGCAATTGTTGTTGTAATATGGTGATTATTAAGCTACTGAAATCGGGGTGTTACATATACGAGTTGTTGAATTTCAAGTACAAGTAATGTCGCTTATTGTGCTTCCCCTATACATAGAATCTTACGAAATCCTGACTTGATTGTCACCACCTCTTCATTGTAGTTTTGCTTTGCTTTTTTGCTTGCTTCAAAATTACTCAATTCTTGAACTTATTCTCTTTAAATTTCACTTTCTTGTTTGCATCATTTTGTATAATTGAATAATACATGTACATCGGGGTGTTACACACATACACACACACACAAAACCACATTGGAACAGTTGGGTTTATATGTAAGGGTACAATGTCAATTATGATTTTGACGATGCCTTTTTAGAGGAAGAACGGGAAGAAGGGGAGTTTGTTCTTTGAATTATTAGACAGACTGTAGTTAACTTTCAACTTTGAGGCTTGAGGGTTGGTACAAAGGAACCCTTCCAAGAAGGTGGCTTTTATCCAATCTCTCTCCCTCATAGTTTTGTATATGATTCTTTAACAGTTATGGTTACGGTTATCATTTTTTTGACCCCATGAAGCTGTAGAGGGTTGTGGTTTTAGTGGTGTACTCTGTTTCAGCTCTATTGTTTATGACTTAGTATATATGTTAGTTGCTAGCAGCATATAAGGGTCCGTTTGGTAGGGTGTAAAACATTTTCAATGTAAAATGGTTTTCCATGAAAATCATTTTACAATGGAAAACTCATTTTCAAAAAAGTTTTCCGTTGTTTGGTTGAATAGAAAATGATTTTCCATCTTAAGCATTTTCCATTGTTTGGTTGAAGTGAAAATTCAATTGTGAGGGAAAATGTTTTCCCTCCACTTGTGATGGAAAATGTTTTCCTTCTAAATTGGGGGGAAAATGTTTTCAATAGGGTGGAAAATGATTTTCCACCTCAAGTTTTACATTTTAATGTTTTACACTAAACCAAACAATGTAAAATGGGAAAACACTTTTCAGTGAAAATGTTTTACGCCCTACCAAACGGAGCCTAAATAGCCTATTTTTTGTGTAGTGGGAACTAATACTGCACTTTGTTGATTGCTATGGAAATATATTAGAATAAATTTTTTTTAGTGCAATTTTGTGCATTTTATTTATATTCTTGTATTTTTTTTCCCTCCTCTTTTCTATAATTCTATATCTGTTGGTAGTACTTTCTGTTAAAAGCCGACACTTGTAGTAAATTTATTATTCTTCTACTCATACACTCCTTCCTTTGGGGTAATTCTCTTCCAAGCACAACAAGAGGCAGAAAGCAGAACACAACAAGCTGAACACTAGCACTTATTTTGAAACTTTCAGTTTATGCTAATGCAAAGCCTGACACCTGGCTGGACACAAACCTGTGTCAGACGAAATTTATCTATGATAACTGATCAATTCCTTTTTTGATTTTATATTAAAACATTTTACAGCTCTGTGGTGTCTATCAGTATCAATATAATCATATTGGTTTCTGTTGTCTGGATTGGCGTTCAGCTAAAAGTTCTTATGCCTTGTACTTATGAATTGATGCCATTTTCTTTTCATGACACTCATCTAAACTTTTCTTTACATCAGGTTGCTCGGGTGAGAAGTTACAGGTCTGATTCTCATTCTAACAGAGAGAATGATGACACCAACTTCATCTGGATGGGATTAAGCTGCCTGGACATGATTTGGCCATGACTAAAATCTCTGCTCAGCCTAGGCATAAAAAGCAATTGAAAGGAGGGAATGTTGAGAGCAATTTTTTTTATCTTGTTGAATACATCCTTCAGCAGGATGAAGACTGGAAAAGAAAGGAGGTTGTCATCAAAGATCTGAGGGAGATGACAAGCAAGGTATTGCACTACTACAGGGGTGACTTCTTGGATGATCTTCCTGGACTTGTAAACTTCATTATTCTTCTCAGTTTGAGCCCTTAACAGAAAATTGAAGTTGATAAGCTGAATAAGAGGGAAAAAAACAAAATTCAGGAAAACCTCATTGGGTTGTGCAGTCTACACTCACCCAAAGCTCAAACTTTTTTCAGACAATAATCCTGGTTCCGAAAAACGTTTATTTGTGTGTAACCTTGTATTTTATTTTATTGGACGAAAATTGTAATATTACAGCCTTTTTTAATGAAAATATGTAACTTTATATATATGTTAGTTTTTATATATCAATTTAAGTGTAAAAAATGCAAAAAAAAAAAAAAGTATTTTTTTTATTTTTTTGGGGCATTAAGGGCACCGATTTTGAACCCGAACCGGTGTCAATTGTTGTTAAATACCAGAAAGAAAAAAAATTGT